GTCGGTCAGAAAGGTGAGGCTTGGCCTCCTGGGGACAGCAGCAGTGTTCTCACCCGAGTGATGGAGGCAGAGCCCTCTGTTGGCTGGCTCCTGACAGTTCCGAGTACACACATGTACCACGGGGCACCCAGCTCCCAGTGGGCCCTTGGTGACCCTGCCTTCCCTTCTCAACACAGAGCTGTTTAGCCCAGTGGAACAATCTGTTAGAATAACCAGTCAAATTGATTGTAACATTTCTTCAGGTGACATGGACCGTTTCCTTTAGACCTCACCAGTTACATTACACAACGATTTTTTTTTTTTTTTTTTTTTTTTTTTTTTTTTTTTTTTTTTTGGACAGGCAGAGTTAGACAGTGAGAGAGAGAGAGAGACAGAGAGAAAGGTCTTCCTTCCATTGGTTCACCCCCCCAAATGGCCTCTACGGCTGGCGCACTGTGCCTATCTGAAGCCAGGAGCCAGGTGCTTCCTCCTGGTCTCCCATGGGGTGCAGGGCCCAAGCACTTGGGCCATCCTTCACTGCACTCCCGGGCCACAGCAGAGAGCTGGCCTGGAAGAGGAGCAACCAGGACAGAACCAGCACCCCAACCGGGACTAGAACCCAGAGTGCCGGCGCCACAGGCAGAGGATTAGCCTAGTGAGCCATGGCACCGGCCTCACACAATGATTTTTAAAGAAACTTTTATCAGAAGAAAACCATAGGGAATCAAAAGGAATATTTGCCTATTTTACAAGTGATTGAAGGACTGCAGATCGGGTGCTCATCAGAAGAGAGGAGTTATGGGTAGCAACGTTGCACGTTGCCTTGTGGTTCAAGTGCACCCAGGATGCTTTGGGCCTTGGTGCTCCTGCCCGAGGCAGAGCTGCTGACATAGGGGCCCATATGGTGCTTGTTAAAAACGGGCTGAGGACCGAACGTGTCCTATTTGCAGTCTGCCATCTGAATGAAATAGCCCCTCCACCTTTCTCTGTCCATCGCTGGTAGCAGGAAGAAAGCACTGGAGAATAAGTGTCGGGCTTTTCAGGGGCGTGGGGTGTGAGCGCAGCGAGGATGCTGGCCTCGCCTGCCCTCCAAGTCAGGGGAATCCAGGCCCCTTTGGCCCCAGAGAGCTGCTCGTGCTGTCCAGCGAGGGCCGCATCACAGCGACCTTGTTTCCATTGTGAGGACCACAGAGAAGACGTCACCTGCTCCTGCGAGCTCACTGTGCCTCCACCAGTGTTATTGGACACTGCTTACAAAAATTTCAGGCAGAAGCTTAGTCCACAGCATTCTGTTTTTTAAGTCTTAATTCTACCATTTGTATTTAGTTTTCCTTTTTGCCTGAGGACTGTATTGGAATTAAAAGAAATCATATTCATGGTTTGCTTTTCAAAACAAACACCAATAAAAATACATTTAGCCCAGGGCTGGCACTGTGGCGCAGCAGATTAACACCCTGGCCTGAAACACCAGTATCCCATATGGGCGCCGGTTCGAGACCTGGCTGCTCTACTTCTGATCCAGCTCTCAGCTATGGCCTGGGAAAGCAGTAGAAGATGGCCCAAGTCCTTGGGTCCCTGCCCCCGTGTGGGATATCTGGAAGAAGCTCCTAGCTCCTGGCTTTGGATCGGGCCAGCTCCAGCCATTGCAGCCAACTGGGGAGTGAACCATCGGATGGAAGACCTCTCTCTCTCTCTCTCTCTCTCTCTCCCCCTCCCTCCCTGCCTCTCCTCTCTCTGTGTAACTCTGACTTTCAAATAAATAAATAAATAAATACCTCGAGTCCAAGGCCCATCCCCCACAACAGTAAGCTCTTAGGAGACGTTGAGGCTACATCATGCAAACATGTTGCTTGTGGGAGGTGATGCTGATGCCCAAGCTTAGTGGGCGGCTGGGGTTCTGCCTGGACTTCCGACCTGAGACGAGTTCGGATGCTCAACCTCCACCTACCTCAGAGGCTTCAAAGTAAAACCCACTGATGCCTCAGTTCGCCATTAATTTATGCATTTTAATTCATGAATAATTATAGTGAAAAGTACATGAGGGAATATATTGTTTTTAATGTAAGAAATTACTCCTTTTTTTCCCTGAGAACTACAGGTGTGACTCAAAATTACATTATTCAGCTCAAATCATTGAAGTCTTCCATTTGTCACAAATACCAGGATGCAAGCAACATATGGAAAGCTGCAGGGTTACTGTGGGAGGTGCATGGCCCAAGGAGCACAGAGACACCACTGCCCTGGCTGTGGTGAGCTCTCAGGCCATGCCCTGTGCCCACCCTCGCCTCATGGTCACCCAGCCCAGACCCACGCGTGCGCAGAGAGAAGGCTCAGACGAATGCGTGTGTAGAGAAGGCCCAGACCCACGCGTGCGCAGAGAGAAGGCCCAGACCCACGTGTGTGCAGACAGAATGCCCAGACCAACACACGTGCAGAGAGAAGGCCCAGACCCACGCGTGTGTAGAGAAGGCCCAGACCCACGCGTGTGCAGAGAGAAGGCCCAGACCAACATGTGTGCAGACAGAAGGCCCAGACCAGCGCATGTGCAGAGAGAAGGCCCAGACCAGCGCATGTGCAGAGAGAAGGCTGAGACCAACACGTGTGCAGAAAGAAGGCCCGGACCCACGCGCGTGCAGAGAGAAGGCCCAGACCCACACGTGTGCAGAGAAGGCCCAGTGTCTGTGAAAAGCTCGCGAGGAGCCTGGAATTGGAATCTGCCATCTTCCTGTGTCATCAGAGGGCGTTCACAAATCATGGGCATCAGTCGTCCAGCGCGAGCCCAGTGAGGAAAAGCAGGCGGCTGGCACAGCCCCAGTAGTTCGCCATTGCCCCAGGGTCGCTCGTCAGCTGTCTGCAGTCACTGCGTGGGAAGAGGCAGATAACTGGGTCAGAGGGCGTTACTGGTCCCCAGCATTCTCAAAGGGCCCTGGAAGCATGACCCCGAGGCACAGACCTTTGTATTTGTGCTAATTCAAGGATTCTTAAGGTGTCTGTAAGATACCTTACGCATTAGGCATGCGTAAGAGAAGGGATAAAGAGGTTTAATGAGTAAACTTTAAAATATCATTGAGAGCTGCAAGTATAAAAAATGAGAGGAATAGCCATTTGGAATTCACGTCACCAAGAGACACTGTCATATCTTCACAGGGGCTTGAACTCCCGACCAGCCGCCTGTTCCCATTGGAGCAGTCTTCATGCCTTTGGTCTGAGCATCCTAGTAGCATGTCCCCTGGCCCTCTGGCATGCACAGATGGCTTCATGAAACACGTGTGTGCGCTGACTTTCTCACCCTGGGCCAAGTGTGCGACACAGCAGCATTCTCGTTCTTCCGGCTAATGGAACTCCGTTCGCTGTCGGGTTTGTGCACCTGGACACTGAGCCCTCATGGTCTGAGGACGGGATGCTGAGATGAGCCTCCCACAGGTCTTGGGATTCATTTCCGTACTCCCGGCGTCGTGTCACAAACCGCGGGCAGAACGTGGCTTCTGCAGGGCCTGGCGTGGACTCACAATCCCTCCACGCCATTGCTGTCACGCCGTCTCCACGCTGCCAACCTCTTCCCGCCAGAGCAGAAGGAGGAATAACACAGACAGGACAGACTGGGCACTAAGGAGCATTCCCGCGGGTCGCTTGCTCTCCACACGCGCCTGTCCACAGCAGGAACGTGCGGCTACAGTGTTCTCTGTGCGAGGTGTCCGATCATGGCTGCTTCTGTGCCCCTGGCACAGCACACCAGGGGATCTCCTAGGCAACCTCGGGAGTAATCGGGAAGGATTATAAAGGGACTTGTCTGAGGCAGCTCTATGCAGGACTAAGAAAGTTCGCAGGCTGGACAACGGCAGTGTTCGCGTGCACACCACCTCCTCCCGGGCTCCGGGCCTTCATTGCCGGCCAGCATCTTTGCACTGTTTTAAGGGTGTCAAGGGGCTGGGGCTCAGCAAAATCTCGCCTCTATGTTCCAGAAGGTTTTCCACAATGACGGCGTCACCTCTCACCACGGCCGGGGAAAGTTACAGCCGCGGTCACAGAACCCTGTTGCTGAGCTCACCCGGGCTTATACCCACCTCCAGGGAGCCCCGGGCCTGGAGAAGGGCCGGCACAGGGGCTCCGGCTGTCCGGCCAGGCTGTCCGTGCTCCTGCTGGTGCCAGAGCCGGCCTGGCCTGGGCAGGTGGCGCCAGCCTTCCAGGAGTGTCACGTTGCTTCTGAGCGGGGATGCGGGTATTTCCGGGGTTTGTGTTGCGGCCTAATCACAGAGGCAGTGCAGGATGGGGCTCTGGGAATATTTGCTGCTGGGTTGTTTGTTTTGTCTTGGACGCACCAGATCTGGAGACTTCCTTCTGCCAACTCCGGGTTCCTTACAAGCAGCGCTGTCCCCCCACTCTGACAGGGCGCTTTGTGAGCCTGGGTCTGCCCTTCCGCTTCCTGCTTGTTACAGATGGCAGCTTGCGGGAGGCGCTGGCACCTGCCTGAGACACACCTGGAAGCACCAGCGCAGGAGGCCCACTGCAGGTCACGGCTGCAGCTGTGCGGGCTTGTGGCTCCCTGCCTCCCGCCAGCACCCAGGCTGACGGAGGAACCCGAGCATGGGCGTGCACTCTCACTGGGGGCTCGGGCCTCACGGCAGAGGCCGGCTGCACCCACATGTCTAACAGGAGCAGTGTCGCTGTCACTCACGTCCGACATTAATGGGAACAGCTGTGGTCCTACGTGTCACAGCATTGATGCACCAAGGGAATGGCCGCTGCACTGCACACTGCCCTGAGATCCACACTTGAGTACAGACCCTCAGACTGAACGCCAGCCAGTGTCATTTATCCATTCTTAGAACGTACACACAAAGCGGGAAGACATTGTCACTAAGGAGTCGTGTAAGGGAATTTGCCTGGTATGTTAACGTGGCCATGGGAGCAGAGCTCTCGCTGGGATTGTTAGCAACACCCTGGTCCCGAGTGGTGGGTGGAATTCTCGGCTGCCCCTCCTCTGCTGTCCCTAACGCTGAGCGGGGTGCTTTGTCTTCCAGTGGTGAACTGCTCAGACCCCGGCTTCGTGGACAACGCCGTCCGCCACGGGCAGCGGGGCCTCCCGGAGAGCTTCAAGTATGGCATGAGTGTCCTGTTTCACTGCAAAAAGGGGTTTTACCTGCTGGGGTCGTCGGCCCTGACCTGCACGGCGAGCGGCCTGTGGGACCGCTCCCTGCCCAGTTGTTTGGGTGAGTGGAGATTCCTTGCGGGCTTTGCGCCACGGGGCGCCAGAAGAGCTCCGACAGAACACGTCGCATTTTTGTGTGTTGGGGGAAGGGTACCGGGTTCCACCACTCCCTGCCCCCCTCCCTCACCAGTCGGACCAAGAAGCACCAAACACAACTTACGTTCTTTTTAAGGGGAAAGGGAAACCCTGAGGTGAGCGCTCGCAGCCCTGGCCCCAGAAAGGGACCCGGGCCATGGGACTCCCTCTGCAGCAGCTCTGTCTGCCTCCACTTACCCTGCAGAGCGGCTTCCTCTGTGTGGTCCCAGCCCCCCGTCTCTCAGCCTCGCTGTCTGCTGTCCCAGGTTCAGAAATGCTGGCACAGGGCTTGTCGGTGCACTTCCGTCCAGGGGACCTGCCCTGAGACCCGTGAGTGGGTCCCCTGCAGTCAGTGGTGACTACGATAACAAACAACACCAACCACCACGCCAACATGGCGTCCTCCTGATTAACCCGGCATTGCCGGGAGGGTGAAGGTGCTCTCCCTGGCAGAGCCACAGATGGCTGCCACGGTCCCTCCTGACAGCCCCGCAGCACCCCGTCTGTCAGTGTGTCAGCAGCAAGGGGCACTCCCCAAGAAGGCCATCCTCGGCCTTCTGTCACTAGTGAACTCGGGTTGTCCAGGGCCGCAGGGAATTGGAGGAAAAGCTGTTCCTTGCTTTGGCTTCTTTTAAAATCGCGCAAAAGCAAAGCGGTTCTTGAAATCATAAGCTTGCCTCCTTCCCACGCGTCCTGTGTGCATCAGGAAAGCAGAGAGCAGCGCCCACAGCACACGGCTGGCGCTGCTCCGCCCGAGAAGTGCGGGCCGGGAATGGGCTGGTGCGGATGTTTTTCTTCCGAGTTTGGCACATGACCTCTCACAGTGTACGTGGAACCGTGTCTCCACCTCCCCCTTTAACAGCAGAGCTGGCTTCCAAGGAAAAGAAGGACGATCACTAAGAGAAGGAAAGGCTGAGCCTTACGTAGCAGGCGCACGTGGCAGCGTGAGGCCTCCGCACCGGCTGTCTGCGTCTGCTTTCCCTGCCTTCGCTCCGGGGATTCGCCAGAGGAATTAGCTCTTTTTTTCTTTCCAAATCATTTCCTCTCGGTCAGGCCTTTCCTTCGCTTGGGTAAATGACCACGGGGCAGTGGCCCCATCTGACGTGGCTGTGTCTTACCTGCAGGGATGGCAGGGACATGCCAGCACGTGTGTGCAACCGTGTCAGCCCAGGGGCTCACCAGCACAAACTGGTTCACCCGGGCACTGTGCTCACTTACCTGTGTGCTTTTCTTTTCCCTAAGTCATATCGTGTGGGCACCCAGGGGTCCCAGCCAACGCCGTGCTGACCGGAGAGAGGTTCACCTACGGGGCCACAGTCCCACTACTCATGCAGTGGGGGCCGAAGCCTTGTGGGCACAGCACCCGGGTTTGCCAGGAGGACAGTCACTGGAGTGGGGCCCTCCCCCACTGCACAGGTGAGACGTGCCCGTGGGGACCTGGGAACCTGTGTGTGCCCACGGGGACCAACACACGTGCCCCTGGGACCTGTGTGTGCCCACGGGGACCAGTATACACGCCCCTGAGAACCTGTGTGTGCCCACGGGGACCAGTGCACACGCCCCTGGGACCTGTGTGTGCCCACAGGAACCAGTGCACACGTCCCAGGGGACCTGTGTGTGCCCACGGGGACCAACACACGTGCCCCTGGGACCTGTGTGTGCCCACGGGGACCTGTGCACACGCCGCTGGGGACCTGTGACCTGTGTGTGCCCACGAGGACCAGCGCACACGCCCCTGGGGACCTGTGTGTGCCCACGGGGACCAACACATGTGCCCCTGGGGACCTGTGTGTGCCCACGGGGACCAGTGCACATGCCCCTGGGACCTGTGTGTGCCCACGGGGACCAGTGCACACGCCCCTGGGGACCTGTGTGTGCCCACGGGGACCACTGTGCACACGCCCCTGGGGACCTGTGTGTGCCCACGGGGACCACTGTGCACACGCCCCGGGAACTGTGCGTGCCCACAGGAACCAGCACACATGCCCCTGGGACCTGTGTGTGCCCACGGGGACCAACGCACATGCCCCTGGGGACCTGTGGTGCCCATGGGGAGCAGTGCACATGCCCCTGGGACCTGTTCACGCCCCCATGGGGACCATGCACACGCCCCTGGGGACCGTGTGTGACCCACAGGGACCAGTGCACACGCCCTGGGAACCAGTGTGTGCCCACGGGGACCAGCGCACACGCCCTGAGGACCTGTGTGCCCACGGGGACCAGTACACACGCCCCTGGGTCCTGTGTGTGCCCACGGGGACCAGTGCACATGCCCCTGGGGACCTGTGTGTGCCCGGACCGTACACACGCCCCTGGGTCCTGTGTGTGCCCACGGGGACCAGTGCACATGCCCCTGGGGACCTGTGTGTGCCCACGGGGACCAGTACACCCGCCCCTGGGTCCTGTGTTGTGCCCGGGGACCAGCGCACATGCCCCTGGGACCTGTGTGTGCCCATGGGGACCAGCGCACATGCCCCTGGGGACCTGTGGGTGCCCTCAGGGACCACTGTGCAGGAACACGTGGCAGCAGAACCCAGCTGCACATGTCTCTGCCGTGTGCCGTGGGGGTGCCAGGCGCCCGTCACTTCCCTCTCACGGCTGCAGGAGCCTGTGCCCTCTGGCTCACAAACCAGCTTCCCTTGACGCCATGTGCCCTGGCCTGTGCTTTATTGTTTTTCTCTGCTTCCTCACAATCCTTCCATGTTTTGGCACCATATTGTCAGTCGTGACACCGATCCACTTAGGAACATTCTTTCTTCTTCATCTCTATGAGTATTTTAGATTTAGTTCACTCAGTGCATCCGCAGGTCTGGACATGCTATGCAGAGTCACCCCTCTCATTTGCCTCCTGGTGCACCCCCTGCACTCCCTCTGCTGCCGCCTCCCTCCAGAGGGCACCTACTGCAT